GTCATGAATCTTATTTTGTTGATGCTCCTAATGATACATGGTGGATTGATTCAGGTTGTATAATTCACATTTCCACTACCATGCAGGGCTTCCTAAACCTGAGGAAACTAGTGGGGAATGAACAAAGCATCTATTCAGGCAATCGGATGCGTTCTGAAGTGGAAGCTGTGAGGACTTTTAGACTTGTTCTAAATTCTAATTATGTATTGGATATTGATAATACCTTTTATATTTCATCGTTTCTAGAAATTTAGTTTCTGTATCCAGACTTGTGAAACTTGGTTATGCATTTACTTTTAGTAATTCAATCTTTGAAATTCTAAAAGACCATGTTGCTGTTGGATATGGAAAATTACTTGATGGTTTGTATAAGTTTGATCTAGATCCTGCATTTGAGCATAGTCTTATGACTGTGCATGAGGAGAATGGCAGCAAACATTGTATCATTAAAGAGGACTCCTCTAAGTTGTGCATAAGAGATTGGGACATATCTCTATATAGAGAGTTAAGAGGTTGGTGGATGATGGAGTTTTACAAACTCTTGACTTCACTGATTTTGATACTTGTATTGGTTGTATAAAGGGAAAGACAACTAATAGAGCTACAAAATGAGCTAGAAGAAGTATTAATAAATTACAGATATATGGGGACCCTCTCTTATACCTAGTCTAAATGGACAAAGATATTTTATCTCTTTCATAGATGACCATACTAGATACATGTATCTTTACTTTTTGTTTGATAAATCAGAGGCTATAGATTCCTTTAAGATATTCAAAGCAGAGGTAGAGAAACAAAGTGAAAAGAAAATAAAGGTTGTAAAGCCAGAGAGAGGTGGAGAATATTATGGATGATATACAGAAAAGGGTCAAATGCCAGGTCCATTTGCAAAATTTCTTCAAGAAGAGGTTATTGTTGCATAATACACCATGCCAGGAACACCACAACAAAATGGTGTGGCGGAAAGAAGAAATCGTTCTCTTATGGACATGGTAAGAAGTATGCTTAGTACCTCCAATCTTCCATTAAAGTTTTGGAGTGAAGCGTTAAAGACATCAATATATGTCTTAAATCGGGTTCCATCAAAGGCAGTTCCAAAAACTCCTTTTGAATTATGGGTTGGTTGGAAACCTAGTTTAAGACATTTACACATTTGGGGTTGTCCTGCAGAAGGAAAGGTTTATAATCCAAATGTTAAGAAATTGGACCCGAAAACTGTTAGTGGATATTTCATTGGTTATCCAATGAATTATAAAGGGTTCAGATTCTTTTGTCCTTCTCACACACCTACGATTGTCGAACCTAGAAACGCAAAATTCTTTGAAGATCTTGAATTCAGTGGGAGTGACATTCCTCGTAAAGTACAATTTAAGGAAATTAAGGAACTAAGTTCATCTTTTCAAGATAATCAATTGATTATTTTTTCAAAATGATCATTCAATTAATTTAGAAGATCAATTGACTTAAGATGAACAAATTCCTAATCAGTCGCACCATGAAGATTCAATTAATAATGATACTGTTATCCAAAATCAAGATACTATTGATGAAACATTTGAATTAAGAAGATCTTCAAGAGTAAGGAAACCAACGATTTCTAATAATTATATGGTATACCTTCAAGATACTGATTTTGATGGTCAGTTAAATGAAGATCCCACTTCATTTTCACAAGCCATGGATGGAGAAAAATCCCTCATTTGGTATAATGCCATGAAAGAAGAAATGGAATCAATGGCCAAAAACCAAGTTTGGGCACTCGTCGAATTACCACTAGGAGCAACAACCATTGGTTGTAAATGGGTCTATAAGACCAAAAGAGATGTTTATGGTAATGTCGAACGATATAAAGCAAGATTGGTGGCCAAGGGTTTCACACAAAAGGAATGCATTGATTACAATGAAACTTTCTCTCCAGTTTCAAAGAAAGATTCATTAAGAATCGTCATGACATTAGTAGCTCATTTTGATATGGAGTTACATTAAATGGATGTGAAAACATCCTTCTTAAATGGAGATCTTAACGAGGAGGTATACATGAAATAGCCAGAAGATTTTTGTAATGAGGATAAGCTAGTATGCAAGTTGAATAGATCCATATATGGACTTAAGCAAGCATCCTGTCAATGGTACACAAAGTTTCATAATGTTATTATCTCATTTGGTTTTATTGAGAATATTGTGGACCAATGTGTTTATCTTAAAACCAGTGGGAGCAAGTTTATCTTCTTAATTCTATATGTGGATGATATTTACTTGCAAGCAGTGATTTGGGTCTACTTCATGACGCCAAAGAATTTCTTTCTCAAAATTTTGAGATGAAGGATATGGGTGAAGCCTCTTATGTCATTGGCATAAAAGTCACAAAGATAGATCTAGAAGGTTTTTAGGTTTATCTCAAAAGACCTACATCGAAAAGATTTTGGAAAGTTGTCGAATGCAAAATTGTTCACCGTCACTAGCTCCTGTTGTTAAAAAAAATAAATTCACTTTCGAACAATGTCCAAATAACTCATTGGAGTTCAAGGAGACGAATAAAATACCTTATGCTTCAGCCGTGGGGAAACTCATGTATGCTCAGGTTTGTACCAGACCTAACATAGGGTATGCAATAGGAATGTTGGGTAGATATCAAAGTAACCCAGGCCTTGAACACTGGAAAGCTGCCAAGAAAGTTATGCGTTATTTGCAAGGAACCAAGAGTTATATGATTACATACAAACACTCTGATCATTTGGAGGTGATTGGGTATACAGACTCTGATTTTGGTGGATGTAAAGATTCTAAGAAGTCTACTTCTGGATATATATTTATGCTTAATAACGGTGCTATATCTTGGAAAAGCAATAAACAAAATATAATAGCAACATCCACAATGGAAGCAGAATTCATTGCGTGTTATGAGGCTACATCATAAGCTTTATGGTTGAGAAACTTTATATCTAGTTTAAGAGTTATCAACTCTATTGCAAGGCCATTAAAGATTTATTGTGATAACTCAGCTGCCGTTTTCTTCTCAAAGAATAAAAAAAGTAGTAGTCGCAGCAAACATATAGATATAAAATATTTTTCAGTTAGAGGTCATGTTAAAGAGCAAAAGGTGGATATCCAACACATAAGTACAAAATTAATGGTCGCCGATCCCATGACCAAAGGATTGCCGGTTAAAGTATTTAAGGATCATGTGGATTGTATGGGGCTAGTTAGTTCATTTGATGTACAAGTTAACTTTTACATTTGTATATATGACCTTATTCAAATATTTTGACATATACAGTTTATCTATTACATTTTTTTGTGCACATAAAGTTAAATGTCAAAAATAAAGTGGACCACGAATGACTTATAGGAAGTTCATTCATAAATTTAAGAAACTCATAAAGTACTTATATAAAATATCATACATTGTAATAGATGGAAGGGAGTGTTCGATTTAAAGGATATGACTGCCATCATTCATGTATTGAGCTTTTATGTAAGTAATGCTTGCTATAACTCATATTATGGCCATATTCGGATTAATCACCTATATAGTATTTTTTTCAAATTGCGGCATGAGGCCAAGTGGAAGAATGTAAGACTTGATGTGGCCACATGCTACAATTATGTAGTGCAAGGTGGTTTAAAGGAGTTATTAACTACCTCTTTTGATCCTTGATGGGAGGTTAAAGGCAGTTGATGAGAGCTACTTGGTCTCTAGCCTAGCCATATATAAAGATATCATTTTCTCCATCAAAGATATATCACAAAAAAATACAAAAGGTTCTGGAGGCATAGGCTAGAAGACATCTCTTAAACATTCACTCACAAATCATTCACGTTTTAGCTTTCTACAACACTTGAATAATATGGTTGAAGGCAAATGATTAAATTTCGTATTATATTACATATGTAATATTCCACATTCTCAGCTCCGGTGGGGTGAGGAAAGATGAATGTTCTCTTATTGACGAAAGCCATCACATATGAATTTCTTCTTGCATCAAGCACATCTCGTAGTCTTCTCAATATTCTTATTTTTACTAAGAATTTCGTTTTAAATTGATGCTTGTTTGAGCCTGCAGACTATGGAGAAAAATGCAGTTGATTGTGATACCCTTTTTCAGCCTCATGCTTTTTTTTAAGCATACAAAAATTATCTACAAATAGATGTGTCTCTGCAGAAATGCTGTTGATTTGAGAGGGATAAAAGTGTAATTCTCGAAACTATTGGGTCCAGAGTTAATTACGTACAATTCTTTCTTTAATTGGGTTCGTTAACCAAACTTCGGATTAAAATTAAGTATTTGCCCTTCAGTAAAATTACAACCTGCCTTCTAAAAACTAAAGTAGTCCTTTTTACCCAAATATACATGAAACTTGATCAATCCGGTTAAAGACATAAATACCCTTTTAACAGTATCTTATTCACACTCCTTTCAAATTATATTTTGTTCAATTTCTTTTGTAGTATGAGACTATGAGTGACTTCTTTTATTTTATTTTTAGTGTGTTGTTCTTTTATGTTGAATTGATAGTAACATCGTTCGTAATATAATTTCTGATTCTGTTGGCAAAGTTAATAGTGGGTTTTTTTTTTTTTTTTTTTTTTGTCATATAGTCAAATAATGGGAAAACAAATGTAATTAATTTGCGTTGATGTGAAACATTCTCATTGATGGGTTTTATTGCAACATGATACATAGAAGACTTTTTCATATTTTTGGGTTTAATAAAAAAAGATTACGATGATTTGTTTTGTGGGTTTGGTTAATTAGTGATTGAGTGTGAAATATTATAATAAGTGCAGTGAAAAAGAAGAAGCCCTTGCCACATTCCATCTTTTGAGTGAATTACCAACTTTGTCCTTGCATTGGTATAATTGCCATTATCTTAAAATATTGGGGTTGACAGGGAAGTCTAAAGAATTTGAGGGCCACGTAAATTTCAACAATCCTGAAGGGGTAGGAATTTTAATCCCTCCAAACTTCTTCATTCTTCTCTTTATATCCACCGCCAGATCACTCACTCTCAAAAAAACCAACCTTTTCACCACCTCCACCCTGTTTGGAACAAAAGAAAATATTAGAAAAACAAAAGAAAATTAAACAAACGCGTCAAAAAAGACAAGCGAAACTCTCTGTAAGCATTCTTCTTCCTTATCTTTTCTTCGTTATTTATACTTTCTCTCTCTAATAAATTCCTTCGATTCTCCTTCTCTCTTTTGAAAGATATTTTTTTCAGGGTTTCGTTGAGAGAATCGAGGCTAATTCGATTAATCGCTCAGTTCGAAGAACAACCACACCGCCGACGAAGGTCCGCGGCTATTTCGACTTCTGATTGCGTTCTCTGTTTTGAATGGCTTTCATCGTTTAGCAAATTAGGTTTAGGGCTTTTTGGATTTTGATTAGAGGCCTTCAAATTGGTGTGCCGTTGTACTTTGTTCGATTATAGTCGTATTAGAATTAAGGGTTAGATAAATTTCCTTTTTTCTTTTGTTTAGTTATTATTATTATTATCATTATTATCATAGTTACTATTGCTGGTGCTTTTGTATTTTCCACCCAACACTGTACAATTAACGATTATTACATTGTTACAACTCGATTTAGTGTGTGTTTCCGATTCGAATTTTATCTGGAAAAAAAGAAGAGAAGCAAAATACACGTATAAATGTTCTGGATAAAATTATGCTTAACCAACCCATTTGATTGAGAAAAAAAAAAAAAAGAGAGAGAGAAAAAGAAGAAAAAGAAAACTTGTGATAAAACAATACTAATGGGCAGCAATAATGGACAACGATTGGGCATAACGGAGCCCATATCTTTGGGAGGGCCAACGGAGTTCGATGTGATCAAGACCCGCGAGCTTGAAAAGGTTTCAGTTATGAATTTGATTGGATTATTGTGATTTGTGGATATGATTAATTAGTTGAGGTTGTACTACTTTGTGGTTTTGTGTATTTCAGTATTTGCAAGATGTCAATTTGTATGAGAGTCAAGAGGAGGCTGTTAGTAGAGAGGAAGTGCTTGGGAGACTAGACCAGGTTTAAATTCCTCTCTCAGCTCTCAATTCTACTTTATGTTTAACATAATGCACATTTGGTTGTATGATTATGTTGGTGAGTTTTCTACAGTAGGTATTAAAGTGATGAAAACAAATAGGAGATTTAAGGTTTTTATTTTGATGGAGGATGGCAGAGAATGTCTTTTTTTATTTTGACCTTTAATTTTGTTATCAAACAGATTGTGAAGACTTGGGTTAAGAAAATTAGCCGTGCGAAAGGGTTGAATGAGCAACTGGTGCTAGAAGCAAATGCCAAGATATTTACCTTTGGTTCTTATCGGCTCGGGGTATAATTATATTACTTTTATGCTATTCGTCTTTTCATTTGCTTATGTTTGTTCTTTGGAAGTGTTAAAAAAGAAAAGCATTATGAGTTACGTACTTATGTATTTGATTTTGAGCTATCAGAGTGTGTTATTGAATGTAAAAAAAGATTTATTGCATTATTGTGCATTTTGGATGTACAAACAGTTCCTATTACATTTTTGTTTGATCTGAGGTAGCATGGGTGTATTAATCTATTTTACATAGAGACTGGTAGTCTTGTTGGTTGGCACTTTTTCTAGGTTTTGAAATCAGCTGTTGAAAAGTGATGTGTTTAAAAGTATCACGTGATATGAAAGGTAACTGCTACTTCAAAGAAGTTATGAATGCTAAGAACTTCTTGTGGATGAGCAGCTTTTAAGATTTTCTTTTGTTAGCAATACTCTAATGGCCTGTTGTCTGAGAGTAAGTTCATCTTCACGATCTTAAATTATCAATAGGGTATGACTTCGATGCATATATGCTGAAGTTTTAGTGCGCTCATTACTATATCTATTGAGAGTGGGTTTTTTACACAAAAAGTTTAAAAAAACATTGTGAGTTATGTCTCACTCAGAGATTTTTTTTTGCTGCATAAATAGAGAGCAGTGTTTCTGCACTGATTACCAAGTATCTTATATTTATTTCTTTTTTAATAATATGTGGATATTTACTGTAAGGCAACGTATTTGAATATCACATCGGTACTGTTTCCTAAGGGAAGCATAATTTTGACTTAGATGTATCTTCATAAGGATTCATCATCTCTTGGTTACCAAAGAATGGATATATATATATAGCTTTTGCTTGGACATATTGGAACATTGATCTTGTAGTTTCTTATAGTTACATTTTCAANCTCAGGACATGGCATTGTTGGAGGCATGGATGAGGGCATTGGAGGTGGAGGTTCAACAGATGGATAAGGAGGCATTGATAATAGAATTGGAGATTGAGATGGAGGCTCAGGATATGGCATTGATGGAGGCATGGAAGAGGACATTGGAGGTGGAGGTTCAACATATGGATATGGAGTCACAGAAGAAGGCATTGGTGCTGGAGATGAAGGCGCAGGATATGGCAATGCTGGCAATGGAGGCAAGAAAGGAGCCAATTCTGCAAGTGGAGGCAATGAATGTGAAAAAGATATAGGACTGAATTCTGATGGTGGAGGATAATGCTGAGACCATGGAGATGGAGATGCTTCAGGAGTGGATGGTTCAGGCCTTGTTTTAGCCGGTGAAGGAGCTGGAGGATAAAGCTGAGACCATGGAGATGGAGATTCTGAAGGGGTCAATGGTATAGGCCATGAAGGATCTGGTGACGCTGCAGGAGACCATGAAGCTGGGGAAGATTTTGGAGCTGATGTTCCAGACCCTGGAGAATATTGATTTTCTGGTGGATAATGAGTGAGACTCCTGTGAGGAAATCCTGTAGAGAATGGAAAGATTGCACAAGCAATCAGGACAATGGTCCGGAAAAAAGACATAGTTTTCAGGCCACCCATTGTCAGAATTTTCCTGACGGTCAAGGCCTAGTGATAATTGCAGGTTTCTTAGTTTTACCATGAAGAAGCATATGCTTATATATCAGGACATTGATGGTGCAACAAGGCTATGTTTTTATCGCCATTGGTTATATGCTTGGAGGCTTATGCTCAGACTCTTGCTAAGAAGAAGTTTGAGCTTTGATTTGGTCACACTACATATTATTACACATTAATCCACATCTCATACAAATGTATGTATTTTTCCAAAAACAGGATTTCGATAGCAGCTATGCGTTTGGCTTATTATTTCTGCCCATATTCTCAATCCTATTCTCCAAATAAAGTTTGGCACATTATTCCAGAAATATTAGCCTATTTTTTTAATTACTTTAGACCCCAAAAGGTTATTAATTTCATAAATACCCCCTGAAAAAAAGGTTTAAAAATAACAAAAACACCCCCGTGACCCATACTTGCCAGATTCTGGCAACCACCAATCTGCCACAACGGTGAATTATCGACCAGAACTGGCTGGTAATTCACCGATCTGGCCTTTTCCAGCCAGATCCACAGTGGATCTGGCCGTCAGTGAAGGCTAAAGAACCGTCAATGACGCCCAAATCTTGGCCATCGTTGATCGACAACGACGACCATATCTTTGGTCGTCGCTGATGGCCAAAGATGGCCTTCTTTGGCCTTTTCCGACCGTCAACGACCACATATAGTCATAGATCTGGCCGGAAAAGGCCATAGCGACGCCATATCGGCCAGATCCGACCGGTATGTGTCGTTATGCAATTTTTCAGTCAGATTTCTACGGTGGTTACCGGAACAGGCATTGCGAATGGTGGGGGTCTTTTTGTCATTCTACATATTTTTATATATTGGGGTATTTATTAAATTAGCAAACTTATGGGGTTTTTTTATAAATTTTTAAATTTTACCTCGTAATACTCTCATATTCAATTATCCAATACTATCCCCAAAATCCTATCCAAAATAATAAACCAAACGCANTTTAATTTAAAGAGATAATTTAATTTTAGCTTTGAAAATTTAATTTGAACTTAAACAGTTAAATAAATATAAATGGATGATTAATTGGTAATAAATTTATATGGTTTTAATTTAAAGAGATAATTTAATTTTAATATAAATTTAATATTCACACTTCACAATGTGCAAATTTAATTTAAACTTAAAACAAATAAACAATTAAATAATTTTTTTTAATTAAATTATTAACTTACATCGTCAAAATTTACATCATCCAAATCTGTGTCTTTTAAGAGGTCGAGTAGTTCGGGATCTTTAGGGTGCAGTGTAGTCTTTAGTCTGCATGAGTCCAATCCCGTAAATATGTTATGACTTCAACCATCTCATTGGTTAAAGAGCATCTTTTGTTTTCTATAATGCGGCCACTAATAAAGAATGTTGACTCAAATGCAATTGTGGAAACTTGCACACATAAAATGCCACGGGCCACTTGGGCTACAATGGGGAATCGACTTGTATTTTGCTTCCACCATTAAAGTAGATCCATCTCACGTTTCTCCTTCCTGGTCATGTAAGACATGTCCATTTGTAGACACTGCTGCAGCTCATTTGGTCCATGTCTGTATGAGCTAGAGCTGCTACTTCCACCACCACTGCAACTGAGTTCCACATACGACCACATGCTCGATCCTTATTGATAAATGTCTTCATCAGCTTCCTGCTGGTCGTCTCTATTGGGCTTTCCACTATACCTATTCTGATATAAAGAAAAAAAGGCTTTCTAATTTTCTGTTAAATTCTGTCAAATACGAACTATAGTCATGTCCTAAATGCTGACCTATCTCTGTAACCATACAATTAAATATGTTTAATTTAAATCTAGGATATACAATAAGACCTAAACCATATAAGATTGAAATATCTAACCAATATTTCTGGTATTTTGCTTCCATGTCTGAAACAATATCCATTAATTTTGGATTATATCTATGTTTAGCAAAAGTTTTAGAAATTTGAAGTAAAATATCTAATGTTAAATTAGTAGTAGGATAATAAATACCACTTAATGTATTAGTGGAATCGTAAAAAGCTTTAGAAAATGAATGAAAAAGACTGCAAACTGTCCAATCTGAATCGTTGATGACTTCATCCGGATAGTTCTTCCAGTTGACGAACTTTGTAATTTGTGTTGCGGTTGGCATAGCTCTTTGCAACATCAAGTACATGGAGTTCCAACAGACAGACATGTCGTAACATAACTTCTTTGGTCGAACCAGTGGCTTCTCTAAGTGACAATATTTTACGTACTCATTCTATCTTGTATTGGCGATGAATCTGATAGCCGTGCGCACTATTTCAATCCTTGCATGTATAGCTTCTAAACCTGCTTTAACAATCAAATTGATGATGTGACAAACACATCTATGGTCAAAAAATTTACCTTCACCAAGCAAATCTAATCTCTTTTCAAATAAAGAAATTGTCGTGGTGTTAGTAGCTGCATTATCAAGCGTTAGTGCCACAACTCTCTCAGTTAATAAATAATCTTGCAAAACTTCAATAATTATAAAATAAATAGTCTTAGTGCTATGTTTAGCATATAATGGTTTAAAACCTATCAATTTTTGTTGTGAATGTCATCTATGATCTAGGTAATGTATTGTGACACTCAAAAAATCTGTTTTTGATCTAGCAGCCCATATGTCTAAAGTAACTGCAATAGATATATTCTGAAAATTTTCAAATTCTAGTTTAAGTTGATTTCTTATTTTAGTATAAAGTTTTTGTATGTCCTTTCTACTTGCACCTCTACTAACAGGGCTATATTGTGGACAAAAAACAATTTTAATCATATCAACAAGAAAAGAATTTTTAGATAAAGAAAGGGGAGAGTCTGTAGCAACTATGTATTTTGCTATCTCTTCTCGTGCATGGAGTGTATTGTATTGCTAGTTTGAGAGAGTTGAGGATTGTAGATTAAAATTAAGTTGAGTTTGTATTTGCGTATTAGGTCCAGTTGAAGTTGAACCGGACTATATATATTAGGGGTGCTTCTTCTCGAGGTTGCATCGCATCGTCGCTCAACATCGATAATGGTTGGACAAAAAATACATACACCTCACATCTCTTCCTCCTGCCCATTTGGCTTTGCCCATTTTGATTTGGTGAAGAATTGCCATACCCTAGACACAACCGTCTTCGACAGTCTTGCTGTGGTGTTGCAGCTCACTTGTGTTTGGCTGGATGTAGTCCCAACTGTTGCTGGTTGTGGAATTGTTGTGTCTGGAAAGGGTGAAAATGGATTGGACCCTTCCATTTCTTCGATGGATGGAGGAACTGGAACATAATACTCATTTGGGGACGGTGATCCTCCGAATGCATAATTTGGAGAATCCATTATGAATTTATGATAAAATAATAAATAACTAAAACAGAAGAAATTGAATAATATAAATAATAATATGAATAATAGATGAATAAATATAAATATAAATTGAAGAGAGTTTGAGAATTGGAATAGAGAGAATGAGAGATTGAAGATTGGTACGGCTTTAGGCCTGGCCCTTATAGGATTGGTCCGGTCCTTGGGAGGACCGGTCCCGAGTCTGGTTTTTTGGGTCGATTTTTTGGGCCTGGACCAAAATTCCCACCTGTAATTTCATGTAATCACAAGAGAAAAACTTCTTTGTATTTGGGCCAATAGGTTGTATAATTCATCCAATGTAATATGCATTATTTATCAAATACCTTATTCTCAAACAACTTGAGCACAACCTCGACAATTTTTAACATGAGACAATCCATTCCATTCTATTATTTCAATTGCAAATAAATATATAATATGAGGAAATGTTTCATTTTATAATGAAAATGAAAGTTGTTTAGATACCTATCTTATTGGAAGTTGGAAACTAAGAAGATGCAGACATGTGTGGTCATATGTTCGATTGACTATAAGGTGTACTGATAAGTGCTTGAAAATGCACTTGTGCTTAGTGATTTTTAGGTGTCATTTAAAGGGGGGGGGGGGCGCGGAGGTTAAACTTGCATAAATTGATTTAATTCTTTCATAAATGCACTTTTTGGGATCATGAGTATTTTTGTTATGTTTTTAGGGCATAAAAGCTTAAAAATAATATTCAGATGTTAGCAAGAGTTCTTGACGATTAGAAACAAACGGTTTGAGAATCAGAGTTGAAATGAAGTAGTTACTTCATATTTAATATGAGATGCGAATCCTAAAATGCTTGAGTTTTGAGCATGCTCAATATTTCAACGATAACTTGAGCTAAAGATCTCAAATCGGGATGATTTTTGGACCATTGGAAATCTGATTCAAAGAGCTACAATTAATATGATTATGTCTTCATCATATTCAGAAGTTTTCATGGAATACTTTGTTTATGTATGTACTTTGACTTAGGCCTAGCAACCTATGCGATCTATCATGATAGATCTTTATTCTGAGGGTGTAGGCTGCTTCCCCTAAGTCCTTCATGGAAAAGCACTTGAACAACCAAGTCTTTACCGATTGCAAGTTTGATATATCATTCTCAATCAGAAAGTATGTCGTCGACATACAACACTAAGAATGCAATTGCACTCCCACTTAATTTCTTGCAAGGTTTGAGAGAGGATCAACTACGAATGAGATGTTTTCCATATACGTTGAAGGATCCGACAAAAAACATGGTTCATGTCATTAACTCCAGCTTCACTTACCACATGGCACGTAGTTTATAATAAATTCATAGGTAAATTCTATTCCCATGCAAAGATTGTTGAATTGCGAGGTAAGATTGCTACTTTTACACAAATAGAAGGTGAACCATTCCATGAAGCTTGAGAACTTTTTAAATTGTTTCTAGTTCACTATCCACAACATAGATATCCTTTAGAATTATTGAATCAATTTTTCTATGATGGATTAACACAGGCTTGTCAAGCCATAGTGGATAATGCTGTAAGTGGTGCTATAGGAGCAAAGACTGCACAGGAGACTTGGGAGTTATATGAGATGC